AGTGGTGCCTTAGCTGTTGCTTCCGAACTAGAGAATGAAAAACGGGCGAAATTGGCCTGCATGCACGTCGGGCAGAAAAGTACCTCATCGGGCTCCCACTTCACACGTATGCCAACAAACATCATATTCTTCACTAGATGCTGCAAGATGGGCATTGCCACATGCCCCATGCACCAATGCAAGTCAACCGATCGCACCCCCCCGTAGCCGAAGTCAGATTGGAGAATGCCGTGCCCCACATGCTCTCTCCGTACTCCTCCTCCGCTGCTGCCTCGGGGTTCTCCTCACCCTTGTGCTGCTCCTTGGCTGCTGCACCACTCTCATGCTCACACTGCTTGCTGGTCCCTCCAACTCTCCCTTGCAGCTGCAGGTCCCATTTTCCGTTTCAGGTGCCACCTCATTCCATGGCACCACCGACACATGCCATAGCTCATCATGTAGGTCCTTGTCTTCATGCAGGTCTCACAGCACATGATTGCCGAGCTGTCCCTTGAACATTTTAGCTCCATTGGTTGCCGTGCCCACAAATGCAAGCCCCATCTTTCTCAGGGATATTAGGCTCCCTTTCAGCTCCGGTACCAAGAGTACACCATGAAAGATTGTCGGCTTCCCATCAGCTCCCTTGCTGCCTTGCCAACTCCCAAGACCTTCATCTTGTACCCGCATCCTGAATTTATTTCGGTGATGCTCGTCACGCCAACCTTGTCTAGCACGTCCGCCCTCAGGGTCATATGATGAGCAGTTCCGGAATTTAGAATTCATGTGTTAAGAGGAGGAGGCCATGCTCCCTCCTTGGCAAATGCCTTCTCATCTTCCCTATTCCCTAGCACGTGGAAGAATTGTCCAGGAGCTCGCTTCTTAAAATCCTCCTCCAGGATCTTTGCCACTCAAGGGTCCGCGACTTCTTGTTTTGAAGGAGGCTCAGTCCGCTTGTAAACTGCAGCCAAAACTCTGGCAGCAGTGAGAGCATCCGTAGGCACTTCGTTTGCTCCGGGTAAGCTATCCCGCAATCTGCAACTTTGCATACAACTCCCGCATCTTGTCGAGAACCGGTTGAATCGGCTCCCCCTCGTTCAAGCGCAATGTCGCCAACTCACGCTCCAGCAAGAGCGTTTCCACAACCGAGGTTGGCGCGAGCACCTACGTGAGCTCTTTACAAGCTTGTATCCCGTTATCAGCGTCTTCGAGCAGAAGCATCACGTGTGATCGCTGGTTCAGCTCGAAGCTTTGTAAGAGAAGGTAGTAGTCAGCGGTAGCACGCTCGTCCCACTCCTCTTGCATGTTGACGTCGTCTGGCCGCTTCTCCACGCCCGTGATCAGCTTCAACAAGCCGATTTTGCAAAAATTGAGCTGCATTTTCCACGCCCAATCGACGTAGTTGTTGGCGTTGAGTTTGTCAACGACAAAATTCTTGAGCACATCCTTCAATAATGAGCCCTGATTGGCACGAACTCTCCTTGGCGCTTAACCACTATTAGCTCGTGCAAGAGAACATTTGTTGTCGCTCGGCGCCAAATCCTCAGCTCTGATACCACGTGTTGACTGCTATATGGGATCTAGAAGCTCTAAGCACACATTTAATACACAATAGTTAGTCCCCACGAGGTCACTTCTAAGGGTCCTCGGGTGCCAGCCCCGAACAAAAGGCCCGTGTTTGTCGAAGGAGTGTAAATGTAGTCGTGTGCACTGGAAAGTTCCCAAACTTATTTGCGAAAGCGATAACGATTGATTGGCTCGTGTGCAGAAATTTCTCATCGCGTCAATAGGACGATAGAAAAAACATTTACTCAAATGACTGTTATCTCTCAAGCAGATACAAGCACACATATATAATAAGTCATAGGCATACAAATGAAACACACAAGGTAGTTGTCTAACTGGCGTCCAAGTCCTTGCTTTACTATCCTTGAAAGCGGTTGTAAAACTGCTCTAGAACTTGGCTTGATTTGCCTCTTTGGAATAATCTGTCTTTAATCAACCTGCACTGCTGCCAAATTCTCCTGCTGACTCCCTTCATGAACATTCATGATCAATCGTGTACAAATCATGAGCACTCGTGTGGGTTTCCCGTTTTCAGTTACAAAACAGACTTGATCGTTTTGTACCGCTGTCAGAAATTATGATGCAAAGCAGCGCGAATTTCTGCGCAAAATCTTATTAGTCAACCGCAATTTCGAATGCCCCACGTGCCCCGCGAGATATTTCTCAGTCGTGCATGACAGAACGAATGCGTCAGCAATCGTGCGCTGTCCTACATCGGACGGAGTGATCATGTTGCTCCTCCCTATAGCGATCGTGCGCACAGTGCACCATTACAACAGTAGCGTCACACGCGTGGGCACTGTGAAGCCACATGCGCATGTCAGGACCCCACGCGTGGGTCCTGACTTTCGCGCCCTTTCCACTGACCAGCGCGAAGTGGTCAACGCAGCAAAAAGCCACTCGCCACTCAAATATACACTCATGAAAAATCATGCCAGAAAACACGCACAGTCATGAACGAACATGATAGTACATGGTCGTACATGATCGTACATGAACGGTCATAAATGTACACGAGCAGCATACAAATACTCATGAACACTCCACGAAGGACCGTGAACACTCGAAACACTTGCAACTTCACGAAACACTACGAACAGTCATGAAGACTCGAAACTCCTTGCATGCACACACGAGAACAGTCATGAACACTCATGAATGCAACATCAGAGAATTGCTCATAACACATGAAGCGCTAGGGCGATTAATAAACTGTAAACACCAAAGAACAGTACACAAATATGCATTCCACACAACACAAACTACCTTAAGACAAATACCTTCAAATTTCACCTTGCTCGACGAATAGGCGACAGGTTGACGTGCAAATTATATTTTGCACCCCTCAATCTGAAAGCTATTCAACTCCCTCAACCAGCTTCTCACTATCGACCGGCTCTGCTACATTGCCGATCCCCCACACTTTGAGCTTCCATCACATCAGCTGCAACCGTTTGCAGGTTAACCGAAGTATTGTTGCTACCGCCCGAAGTAGTTTCATCTTCATTGAAACCTAGCTCCACCTTGAGTTCTTCAATCACCGTAGTTGCATCAGCTGCAACGCTTTCCACTTGCAGCACCAATATATTCTCCTTAGCAGCTTCACCCTGTTAGAAAGATAGACTATGGTGTTGAATAGGTTTACGAGGGTGGTACAAGTAAAGTGTCGTGCAATTTGTTGTACCCCCTAAAGCTAGTCCCTACATAGCCTACATACTGATATGATATATATCTTTTGACACACCCCCATAGGCGAAGTGGGGGATAGCCAGCAAACAATGGTCACAAGACCAGCCAAAAAAAGACAAAACAAAGCTCAGGGTGGATCACGAAGTCACCACACAGTCCGAGCACAAGCAAATGGCCACAAGGCCAGTTTACATGCAGAGTTATGAAGAGCATCTACTATGATCACCACCTAGCAAAGATAAGCATGCAGACTAATATATAGATAAGCAGTACAAGGCAAAGTCAAGCAGTAAGCAAGTGAGGCAGAGTAGGCACAAGGCCTAGAGCAGTGCAGAAACACTGATGGTCACCAGACACAAGTGCCTTGGTGAAAATATCAGCAGTGTTGGCCCGTCAGGCCACATAAGCAAGGTGAAGCTGATGACGCTACTGCAACTCTTGTGCAAGAAAGTAGCGCAGAGCGATGTGCTTTGTTCTGTGCTCCAGTCTGTGTTGTTGACACAAGGCAATGGCGGCCTTGTTGTTGACGTACAGAACTGGAGGAGAACGAGGCCGCTCTCCCAAGTCGGTAAGCAGGTAGCTCAGCCAGCGTAACTCCTGTACAGCCATGCCCCCCCCCCGTGAATCTCAGCCTCACAGCTGGAGCTGAGAACAGAAGACGAGTGGGTGGACTTTCAAGAAATTGAACCGGAGCCAAGGCTGAAAGTGTAACCCTGTGACGACTGCTGAGTGGCCTGGTCGTCTGCCCAAGAAGCGTCTGAGTGTCCAGTGAGTACAACTGGGCTCCGTCCTCCAAGCATGGGCCCCAATGTGCTACACAAATAACGCAGCACCCTCCTAGCAGCCCGCCAGTGCTCTGGTCGGTGTTTCCTGGGTGCAACGTAGCGTGCCAGGATGCCGAGAGGGTACGCGAGATCAGATCGAGTGCAGGTCATCAGGTACATGAGGCAGCCCACAAGCTCTGGATACTGACCACTCGGTTCTACGGACTCGTCCGAAGGTGGAGCTGAGAGCGAGTGGCCTGTAGGCAGAGGAGTGGACTATGGCGAGGAGAAGTGGAAGCCGAACCGCTGAAGAACCTAGTGCACCATGTGTGACTGAGTCAGAGTGACGGTGAGCTGTGCTCTGTCCCAGGTGATCTGCAAGCCAAGATAGCTGCGCAGTTCACCCAGGTCAGTGCGACTGTATCTTTTCTGCAGCTCCGCCTTCACAAGGGCCAGTGCCTCAGTGTCAGCAGTAGCAAAAACCAAGTCGTCGACGTACACAAGGATGTAGAACGGCGGCAGGGAAGTGTCGGTGCGCAGAAACAGCGATGGATTAGCAGTCGAAGGAGCAAACCCAAGAGCCGCAAGTGTCGTCCTTAGTGTGTCGTGCCACTCGCGTGGCGCCTGGCGAAGACCGTAGACTGGCCGCCGGAGGCTCCACTGAGTACCCCCGGAAAACGACCCAGTCAAGCCATGTGGGCGGCGTAGCCAGATCTCCTCGTGTAGGCTGCCCTGCAAGAAAGCTGTGACGAATTCAAGCGAGTGGAGCTCGTAGTTATGCTATGCTGCAACGTGCAGTAACACCCGAAGAGTGGTCATCTTCGGGGTGGGGGAGAAGGTCTGGAAGAAGTCGACCCCCTGTCGCTGACTGAAGCCTCGTGCAACGTAACGTGCCTTGAAGACAGGCGGAGAACCCGGCGGCTGTTTCACCCTGAAAATTGACACGCCATCGACTATGTTCGCCCCAGGTGGGGGAACTGCGTCGATGTAAGTGCCTGTGGACTTCTAGGATGCCATCTCTGCGTCCATGGCTGTCTGCCACTGAGAGAAGTAAGGACCCGTAATTGCCTCTGCGTAAGAGCGCGGGGTCGGGATGTCTAGTGCATCCGGGTCTCCCTCAGGGGCAAGTAGCATGGCAGCGAGATGAGCTACAGCAGCGGCAAGATACTCGAGCCCACACTGCTTGTCCTCAAGGACGTCCGTGCCAAGGGCACACTCACCCCCGACGGACGGAGGACAGTCAGACTCAGACTCGGTAACAAGACAAGTGACGTAGTCTAGATGACACGAAGCAGCAAAATTTACGAGCTCAGTGACTAAGGCAGACGCAGCAGCAGACTCAAAAGCAGGGTCAGTGGCAAGTGTGGCTAGAACACGCGTGACACTAGAACTAGCAGCACGAACTAGGTTCGACTCAGGGTCAGGAACGTCGGGAAGTGAGGACGCTGGGGAAGATGGCTGGGCAACACGCTGTGGAACAGAGGAAGGACGAAGTACCATAGTGTGTGTGCCAGGAACAGGCGGAGGACGAACACGACGAGCACGACGAACAGTGCGAACAGGGGAGGCAGGACGTGACGCAGGCACACGACGCTCTGTCAGAGAGTCTGTCAGCTCAGTGTAAGGAGAAGGAGCAGGCAGTGTTGAGTCAGGCTGTAACAGTGGCTGTGACTCGTCAGGCGGAGGGCAGAGTAGGGGAGGAGTAAGGCCAGAAGAACGGTCGCCGCTGCATATCTGCGTAGCACTCCCAGCAGTAGAACCTCTAATAGCCCCGGCTCCAGTACCTCCAGCACCACCAGCAGCTCCAGTGCCTCCAGCAGCTCCAGCACCTCCAGCACCTCCAGCACCAGCTGTCCCAACCCCAGTACCTCTAGTACCAGAATCCCCAGCACCTCCAGCTCCTGTATCTCCAGGTCGTGTGCTTCCAGCTCCAGTACCTCTAGCACCAGCATCCTCAGCACCTCCTGCTCTAGTACCTCCAGCGCCTCCAGCTCAAGAGTCAGCGACTGCCTGCTCAGTACCTTCAAAGGAAGCACGACATCCGACTACCCACTCACGCAGCTGCTGCGACGAGAGACTCTCCTGCGGACGCGACAGCAGCTGCTGCTCACCCCCAGGTGCAGCACCCCCATGCTCGGCACCCCCAGGCTCAGCACCCCCACGTTCAGCACCCCCAGAATCAGTACCACCAGCGTCAGCACCCTCAGAGCCCTCACCTCCAGCGCCACTACCTCCAGTAGCACCGGAGTCCACGGCGACAGGCAGCAGGGGCGGCGAAGACGGCCGAGGCGGAAATCCAGGAAGGGTCTCCAAGCGTGGGGAGCGGCGAAAGGCCGTAGTGTCATCAGCAGCAGGGTCACCCTCTCAGTTGGGCCAGAGGAGACCTCCAAAGGCTCAACCAAGGGGGGTGGTGTGACCTGAGACACACATGAGGGAGCAGGACAAGAGGGGGGGTGGGGGTCTACTGGGGGTAACCTGGAACCAGGAAGAGGGGCGGTGGGGGGATAGGAGAAGACACGTGGGGGAGGAGACGGTAGTAGCAAACTGACTCGTCAAAGGTGACGTTCTGGGAAAAACTGTCAGCCAGGCGCGTCGGTGAGAAAACCAAGGAAGACGCAGCAAACGGTGCGAGAAGAGAGCTTGTCCGTGGTAGTATCGCGGACAAGGGCCATCGAACCCTAGACCCAAAACGCCGATGCATCACCAACCTCCCCCGTTCAACGCAGGGTAGGCGAGGTCTCTGACATGGGGCCAGAGGTTGAGCTCATGCACAGCGTATCGGACCATAAATGGCCACAGAAAATGGGGAGCAGCCGCATGGATCATGGAGGTGCGAGCAACCTCCATGATCAAGCCAATGCGGCCCACAGCAATCCCATTTCGCTGCGGAGAAGCCGGAAGCGTGAACGACTGGGTGATGCCCTCCTCACTTTATAAGTAATGAAGGAGACCGGAGGAAAACTCACCTCTACAGTCAGAGTGCAGACGGAGAATTGGGAGACTGGGTGATGCCCTCCACAGTCAAAGGATCAAAACACTATGAACGCCGCCCTTGCTCTGCAAGGGAAACACCGTGGTGTAGCGCGTATAGTCGTCGACGACCAGCAGGAAGCGGCGCTCTCGGTCCGGCCCAGGGACGGGGGCAGGGCCCCACACGTCCATATGCAGGGTCTGCAGAGAAGCCTCTGTCGGAGGGAACGAGGAGGAGTGAGGAGCGGCGCTCTGCCGCCCCTCAACACAGGAAGTGCACGGCAGCGCGAGCGACGGAGGGAGCGGGGGCAGGGACCTCGGAAGGCCCGAGACAAGGAGACGCGAGTGCTTGCGAAGCAGATGCTGCAGGGAGGGGTGACCAAGACGGTGGTGTCAGAGGAGGGACGAGTGCGTGAGCGACCGTTACGAGCACGACGCAGCTACCTGACCGGACCCAGCGAAGTGTGTACAGGCCAGACCCAGGCCTCCGAGTCAACGTGACGAGGTGGTCGTCAATTACTGAGTCCGTACAGATCGCCACAAGCTCTCCCTCAGGAGTGGTTGTAGTGACAAACCGATCCTGGAGGACAGCTTGAGTCACCAAGTTCGTAGCGAACGGGGGGAAGTGGAAACCTGTGAGGGAACCGGAGGGGACTGCCGGATAGGGGAGAGCAATGGTACCTCGTGCAACGACTGGGCCAGAGGAGGTGCCGGCCAAAGTGTCAGGGACAGGAGTGGTGAGTGGTGTGACTGTGGTGCAGTCGCGGAAAAAGCAACGAGACACGCTCGAGTCTAGCGTGAAGATGAGCAAAGCCTCGGCAGCACTTGTGCTAGCAGACTCATACGAGACTAGAAGCCTATATATCACCAGAGCTAGGCACACCCGAGTAATAGTCGCCCTCAACACTAGAAGCAGGAGCAACACACATAGCATGCATGCCAGCAAGGATCTGGTCCCAATCAAAAGCAAATACATCAATGTTTTTTTTTAGCAATCCTAACCAGTTACGCATCTCGGTCTTCTCACCAAACTCCTCGCGAAAAAGCATCCTCGAGGCGGCAGAAGCAGCGAGCATCGACATGGCCTGGCTTGCCACGTCTCCTGCGTGGGGTCCCGTGCGTCTGACGTAGGTACAGCGGCCTCCTCTTCCGAGACCACCTCGTTGGACCACCCACTCACGTAGCTGCTGCGGCGAGAGGGTCTCCTACCGACGCGACTGCTGCTGCTGTCCACCCCCAAAACCTCCGCCCCCACTAGCCGTGTATCCAGACGCAACTCCCTGACCTCCACCCCAGCTGGCTCCACCACGACTGCTACCCAAGCCGCCTCCGCCACCCAAAGTGCCGCCACCGCCCCCGCCACCCCCACCCCCACCCCCGCCCCCCCACCACCCCGGCCACCACCACCTCCACCGCCCTTACTACCGCCACCACCACCGCCCCTGCCACCGCCATCCCCGCCGCCACCCCCACAACCCTTGCCCTTCTGGCGCCCACCCTTGTTGCGCCTCCCGCTAAGAGCGGACGCAGCACCGGCTACCTCAGCACCGAGGAAGTCAACAGTAGCAGCAGGGGCGACAGAGGGTGCAAGTAGGGAAGGAGCACACCCCTCAAAGAAGGAGGTGCGAGGAGTACCACGGGAAGCAGCTACAGCGTAGGCACTGGTCTTAGCCTCCAAGAGCAGTGACTCAAACGAGGCTAGGGTGAGCTCGCTAGGGTCGAGAGAAAGGAAATGGTCTTGGATGGGGTGAAGGGAGACAGGGAGATAGGATACAAGGAAGTAGAGTGCATTGTACATCGGGGGAGGTTTCTTAGCCAGAAACTCTGGCTTGAGAGCAGCACGGTAGCGAAGGTTACTGGTCCGCAGGTGAGTCATGAGGTCAGCGATAGTGTCGAAGTCTGACAGCTCTGGAAAGAGGTAGCAGGCGACCTAGAGCGGCAGAGGAGGGAGATGAATAACGCTTAACTACAGCGTCATAAAGGTCCTTGGCAGTTTTCACCTAGCGAAAGTGGGTGCGCTGGTCGGGCGGGAGGTGGCTGCGAACTGCAAGCGCGGCAGTGGCGTCGCTTGCTAACCACTGCGTACTAGCTATGCGGTCAGCTTTGTACTTCTGCTGTGCTTCTGTCGACGCAGAAAGAGCAGGCTCAGTCGGAGTGGGAGGGGCTGGGAGGGAGCCTGAGGTGTGCTCAAAAAGAGAGTCGTCGTTGCGGGTAACGCTACGCAGGTACATGTGAAGTCCCTCAAGCCATGACTCGTAATCGACAGGGCTACCCTGGTTGGATGTGTAACAACTCATCTGCCGAATCAATTAGCACCAAAAATGGATGGCGCTCAAGTGTGTGACCTATACCCGGCCGCACCTGGCTACTGGTGAGCCTGTGCGAGTAGGAGGGCGTGGTGAGATGCATCGAAGCGTGCGCGTGAGCGCGAGTGGAGCTCCCGATCGCTGCGGGGTTTGGAATTAGTACCAAATATTCAAATGAGAACTTTGAAAACTAAGGTGGAGAAAGGTTCCATGTGAACAGCAGTTGCACATGGGTTAGTCGATCCTAAGAGATGGGGTAACTCCTTGAGAACGGCGCGGTTCTCCCCGCGCCGCCCATCGAAAGGGAATCGGGTCAAAATTCCCGAATTGGCCTTTGCTGGTCACAATGTAGATCCACAAAATCTTCACAAGTTTCGGCGCCAACGAAATTTCAGCAGAGTTTGCCCTTAGCGAAAGTCACATCCAACCTCCAGAACTCCACTTAGGCACGCCCACAGGCCATGGTGGGTCTAGGAGGGTCTTCACACTTCAGTAGACTCCCCACAAAGTCCTTAATCAGCTCTGATACCACTTGTTAGAGACCAAGGACGAGTCTAGAACGTTTAGGGGCCGAAATAACTCAAACTCGTTGGGCTAGACTTCTGAACAGAAATGTCGACTTGATAAGAAACGTCGTCGACAAAAATTGCACCGTTAGAATTGTCTCAAACTCGAGTATGTTGTAGCCCTTGACCGTGGCTATCTTTCTCAATTTGAATCGTATCCAAAGATGGTCTATAACTCGAGTTATGAATTTCGGCGCACTAGGGAGTATGTTGTTATAGAAGTTTAACTCACTCACAATTGTTCTCACAAATTACACACAAAAGTTAGAGTACCAATAAACCAGGTACGACAGAAGAGACGACGAGAGGAAAGGCCCCAAGAGAGTTCCCAACCAAGAAAACCCCATGCAACACAATTCTCCTCTCTATAGGCACCCCAACTATGATATTTGTCACTTTCCCAACCTCCACAATCCACCTCACCCAAGTTGTCCAGACTTGCCAACCTGGTTTGGTTTCACCCAACCACTTGACAGCATCTACAGTGATGGGGATGAATTTTCCAACCCCAAAAGTCTGTACCCCATATTGAGTCACTCCAACAAATTCCCATAGTCATCGCAACCAAATACGAAAAGCATACGAACTTCGAACGTTCGTAGCTTTCTTGTTCGTGCTACGATTGAAGCGAGACGGAAAGCTCTCGAGTACAGGAGTCACTTCAGGTATCTGCTCAAGCAAAATAACATTTACATATACTCAAAAAATCTCAACGACATCGAATACAAATTCTTGCGCGCATGTACACCACGCATGGAAGATAGTAGATATGATGGGAGGCAGACAGACGTGAATGCATATGTCAGCATCTGGCACATCACACAACACTGTCAGCATCTGGCACATCAGATTGTAGCCCGAGGGGAGGCCACTGATGACATGAGTGACATATGACGCCACCGAGTAGTCGATGCCGGCCATTCGCAGATCGGCCAAAATTCGCCGCGCTCGATTGCAGTACTCGGTCGCCGATTCCTGTTCCTCCATCCAAATGTTGGTCAACTACTTTTTCCAGTTGACTGATGTACAGGTCGCGGTCGCTTTGTATGTGCGCATGATGGTGGTGTTCGCCAGCACCAGGGTTGCAAAAAATGACGGGATAACGATGGGATCAGGAAGGTCAATCTCGCCTTCCTGAGCCCGTTATTTAGGGTTCGTTAACCTCCGTCAGCCTGGTCAGCCCGTAAAAATGCTGCCGAGCCTCTCCTATCGTCCAAACCAGAAACCAAAGTGGGGGCCTGGTGAACGCCCGTATTTCTCGACCAATTCGAACTGCTCGACGGCATATGGAAGCGGGGACGCAACTTCATTCCCAAGCAAAATTCCCTCCCCAAGCTATGCCATCGCCATCCCCCCATTTTCAAAGGACAGCACTGGTACAGTGATTGCATTGCCGTTCAGATGGGAACCTCTGAACGAGCCAATTGTTTGACAAATGGGGTTTCGTATACCCCCTTTTTTCCCCCTCCTGAACACACCTTCGATTAGCCCCCGGCACATGAGTCTGAATTGTGACCGGGGTATACACGGACTGGCGGGGGTTGTATTAGAGCTGTGTTATTTTTATTAGCGTTTTTTACCCAAGGCGAGCATTTTTTGGCCCGTGGGCAGGCTGTGGTCAGTGACGCTAAACTTTCGCGCCATTGGGGGGAAGGTGGGGATGGAGGTTCCCGATGCAGTTGCGTAATTTTCCGTTTCGGTATCAAAAAGTTTCTCAAGTGGCATCACGGCCAGACCTCGGAGGTGGGTTCCGCGGCCATTTCCGAGTGCGGTCGCGATGCCGATGCCATCTTTTTCATTTCAAATTTCGGTGTGCTGGTGAACATCGCCGATGTACTGCCACGCATGGTAGCCAGCATCTACTTGAAGTCTGCACGACTTCAATGCAACTTGCACAAGAGGAGAGGAACACCTCGAAATGACCATGAAGGTTAGTAGATGAGCAGCGCGAAATTCCGCCCAGAGTTCAGAGTCGTCTGCGTCCGGCGCCTCAACATTGCCGTCAACGAACTTCTTCAATCCAGCAGTCTCCAGCTGAGGCTCAATGGATTCATTCCACGTGATCAAGTCGTGCCGACCTTCGAGCGGCTTCGGCACAGAGATCTGTCCGACAAAATTTTTAAATATCCGTACCCCGCCGCGATGCCTCCGTCTCGACCTGCCGATGAAAATTTAAAAAATCCGTACTCCACCCCGTAAAGGAGATTGACGTCGACCATGGATGTTGCCGTTTGAGCTGCTTCTATTTGCAGACAATCGCAACACTTGCGCCTGCACTCCCGCCAATGCTTCCACCACCGATACAAAGCATGAAAAGCATCAGCAATGCCAAAGACTTTTGCAGCTCTGATAAAAGAAATCGTTATCCCTTGTCGAACCCTACTTAAACGTCTTATCTAACACAAGGTTTTTGACAATGTAGAGGTCCCCGATTATGATCAGATTGAAGCCTGGCAGAATTTGGTCAACCGTCGGTCATAAAACCGTCCTGATAAACGCTCGTCTCATAGGTTTGTCTGAAGGAAGGTAAGTAGCGATCACTGTTAGGGAAAAGCTTGCGCACTGAATCTCAGTTTGTACTAATCTACCAGAAAAGTGAGCTAGGGGGTTGTGAAAGGTGAGGTCCGGTCTGCCGTTGAGGACTGCTACGCCACCAACTCGGGTGACCGGGGTTGCAGCTGAGAAAGATGTGAGATTGAGGGTGGTCCAGTATGGGTAGTCTGCGTATCTAAGAGAATCATGACATCCGTGGCTTTATCACTGTAAGTCCAGTCTGTCGTGCGTTTCCGTTTTGTGTTATCTCCCAGGCCATTGATATTCAGGCCCGCAAAGGATAGGATGTTCCGTATACTTATATAGTCACTGCTTGATCGTCTCTATGCATCCACAGGCAGTTAAAGCAAAGAACAGCAACCACCATTGAGCCAACTGTTACAGGCCATACTCCTTGCGAATCGCATCCAGGCTCGCTTTCTCCATGGTCGCGCGTGTGACGGCACCGAGCTCCTCCTTACCATGAAGGTGGCGAGCAGATGTGATATGCTCTGCAGCAGTGACAAACAGCTTCCCATGAGCCTTCCCCCAACTCAGCTGCATGCAAATCCGGTGGAAATGAGGACGATCGTCGGATCCAGAAGAATCGGACGAACCAGGCGCGTAGCAAGCAGGGGCGCAACTGCGACAGGCGGTCAGAGGGCTAGTGCTGATAAAGAAATATAATAGGAAAGCGCTTGCTGAATGTTCCGCCGCTCCGTTACCATTGATCCTATCCATACGACTCAAACTCAGGCTCCACTTCCCTATGTTTTTCAGTCGCTCTATGATGAAGTCATCATGATACTTATCATATTGCCATCCCCCTTAGAACTGACAGGAAAGCACAAGTTTGCAGAGATAACTACTACAACGGGAGCTAGACCACGGGCTAGGCACGGATGCTCGTGTGATCTCTGCGTTCCTTGTTCCTTAGTCGTTTTCCTAGTGCATACACTGCTTGCTAGTTCACGGGGCAATTTGGCAAGAGTTTCACTAAGAAAGGTTGAAAGCAACGGTAGAATGAAGTTGGCAAGACTAGACTACATCAGAGCTAGCATGCAACCAAGGCTTCTTTCCAGCGCAGCACGGTCGACCGCGTGCCAGCACGACTTGGTCGACCGCGCTCCAGCAGTGCAAAGTTGCGGCTTGCCAATGCTGCAAGTCGACGGCGTGCCAACATCGCAGGTTGACGGCGTGCCAACGTTGCTCCCTCAAGACGGCAGCGCACCCGCTTCGCAGGTGCTCGCAGATGATTGGCGTGCAGTGCCCCGTCACCTGCACAGCGCACACACCAAGTCAATGTCGCGCTGACGACAGCCGCATGGATCATGGAGGTGCGAGCAACCTCCATGATCAAGCCAATGCGGCCCACAGCAATCCCATTTCGCTGCGGAGAAGCCGGAAGCGTGAACGACTGGGTGATGCCCTCCTCACTTTATAAGTAATGAAGGAGACCGGAGGAAAACTCACCTCTACAGTCAGAGTGCAGACGGAGAATTGGGAGACTCGGTGATGCCCTCCACAGTCAAGGGATCAAAACACTATGAACGCCGCCCTTGCTCTGCAAGGGAAACACCGTGGTGCAGCGCGTATAGTCGTCGACGACCAGCAGGAAGCGGCGCTCTCGGTCCGGCCCAGGGACGGGGGCAGGGCCCCACACGTCCATATGCAGGGTCTGCAGAGGAGCCTCTGTCGGAGGGAACGAGGAGGAGTGAGGAGCGGCGCTCTGCCGCCCCTCAACACAGGGAGTGCACGGCAGCGCGAGCGACAGAGGGAGCGGGGGCAGGGACCTCGGAAGGCCCGAGACAAGGAGACGCGAGTGCTTGCGAAGCAGATGCTGCAGGGAGGGGTGACCAAGACGGTGGTGTCAGAGGAGGGACGGGTGCGTGAGCGACCGTTACTGTTGGGTGCAAATTTAAATTGCACGACATCCTGCCGTCTGTTTGTACGAGTATGCGTGTGCGAATGCATTTGGGTGTGAATGGAATGTTCGTGTTTTTGTTTGCTTTCGCAATTTTCGCTTGATGCATTTGCAGGTACTCGCGCAATGTGCGCTTCGGCACGACATTGTACGCGCTATGAACAATGCAAGCAGAAAGGACGAGCTCGCAAAGGAACCCAAGATGGAAGCTTTGCAGTTCGGTTGAGTTGATTGCGCAGATTCAGTTCTATCCAACTCGAAATTGTACTGTTTTGTTTGGTTAACTATAGTGTAGCAGGGAAGGCACTATAGGGGTACAATTTAGGTGAAGGTTGGATGTTGTTTGTCTGTATCTGCATGCTACAAGGCCAGGGGAAACCAGCGGAACCAGCATTTGGCTGGTTGGGCAAAGACAAAACAGGTTCTGTTTTTAGAACCTGAACCTGGTTGTTGTTTTCCCAGGTTGGAAAAACAGAACCAGAGGTTGTTTACCAACCTACCACCTGCTATTTTGTCCAGCCAGGTTGGTTCTGTTGCTTGGAATTATTTGGGATCATCCCTGGTTGTTCCCAGGTTGATTCCCAAGGTCCTTGCTAGCTAGAACTATTTAATCCTTCTCTGTTTGTACCTGAATATAGTCAAATTGATTCAAGCGAATTCCTTCCTCGCTGGAATTTCGTTTCTGCGCTATTCGACGGCGGAATGCTACCCGAGTCAACGCTAGTATGCTAGCACTCCAACGCTAGGCAAACGCTGTCCGAGCCAGAACTTAGTAATGGCAGAACTTTTCGCGAGGCAACTTGGCTCATTTTAAAGCTCTTGGAGCGAGCTTCGATATAGCGAATTCTCAGCTTAATCCGACCGACGGTCTGCACGGCACGCTGCGCGACGTTCAAGGTACTCTTGCTGTTTTGACTAAGTCCTTCTTGATCCCTCTCTCTACAAACTCGGACCCGAGGATAGGGGCTGGTCTTGTATCAGGCACCCAGGGACCCTTGGAGGTGACCCCGAGGAGAGGTTTTAAGTTTGATTAAGTCCTAATAGCTTGAGTTTATTAGGCCCTTACACCAACAGTTACGAGCACGACGCAGCTACCTGACCGGACCCAGCGAAGTGTGTACAGGCCAGACCCAGGCCTCCGAGTCAACGTGACGAGGTGGTCGTCAATTACTGAGTCCGTACAGATCGCCACAAGCTCTCCCTCAGGAGTGGTTGTAGTGACCAACCGATCCTGGAGGACAGCTTGAGTCACCAAGTCCGTAGCGAACGGGGGGAAGTGGAAACCTGTGAGGGAACCGGAGGGGACTGCCGGATAGGGGAGAGCAATGGTACCTCGTGCAACGACTGGGCCAGAGGAGGTGCCGGCCAAGTGTCAGGGACAGGAGTGGTGAGTGGTGTGACTGTGGTGCAGTCGCGGAAAAAGCAACGAGACACGCTCGAGTCTAGCGTGAAGATGAGCAAAGCCTCGGCAGCACTTGTGCTAGCAGACTCATACGAGACTAGAAGCCTATATATCACCAGAGCTAGGCACACCCGAGTAATATTCGCCCTCAACACTAGAAGCAGGAGCAACACACATAGCATGCATGCCAGCAAGGATCTGGTCCCAATCAAAAGCAAATACATCAATTTTTTTTTAGCAATCCTAACCAGTTACGCATCTCGGTCTTCTCACCAAACTCCTCGCGAAAAAGCATCCTCGAGGCGGCAGAAGCAGCGAGCATCGACATGGCCTGGCTTGCCACGTCTCCTGCGTGGGGTCCCGTGCGTCTGACGTAGGTACAGCGGCCTCCTCTTCCGGGACCACCTCGTTGGACCACCCACTCACGTAGCTGCTACGGCGAGAGGGTCTCCTACCGACGCGACTGCTGCTGCTGTCCACCCCCAAAACCTCCGCCCCCACTAGCCGTGTATCCAGACGCAACTCCCTGACCTCCACCCCAGCTGGCTCCACCACGACTGCTACCCAAGCCGCCTCCGCCACCCAAAGTGCCGCCACCGCCCCCGCCCCCCCACCCCCACCCCCGCCACCCCCACCACCCCGGCCACCACCACCTCCACCGCCCTTACTACCGCCACCACCACCGCCCCTGCCACCGCCATCCCCGCCGCCACCCCCACAACCCTTGCCCTTCTGGCGCCCACCCTTGTTGCGCCTCCCGCTAAGAGCGGACGCAGCACCGGCTACCTCAGCACCGAGGAAGTCAACAGTAGCAGCAGGGGCGACAGAGGGTGCAAGTAGGGAAGGAGCACACCCCTCAAAGAAGGAGGTGCGAGGAGTACCACGGGAAGCAGCTACAGCGTAGGCACTGGTCTTAGCCTCCAAGAGAAGTGACTCAAACGAGGCTAGGGTGAGCTCGCTAGGGTCGAGAGAAAGGAAATGGTCTTGGATGGGGTGAAGGGAGACAGGGAGATAGGATACAAGGAAGTAGAGTGCATTGTACATCGGGGGAGGTTTCTTAGCCAGAAACTCTGGCTTGAGAGCAGCACGGTAGCGAAGGTTACTGGTCCGCAGGTGAGTCATGAGGTCAGCGATAGTGTCGAAGTCTGACAGCTCTGGAAAGAGGTAGCAGGCGACCTAGAGCGGCAGAGGAGGGAGATGAATAACGCTTAACTACAGCGTCATAAAGGTCCTTGGCAGTTTTCACCTAGCGAAAGTGGGTGCGCTGGTCGGGCGGGAGGTGGCTGCGAACTGCAAGCGCGGCAGTGGCATCGCTTGCTAACCACTGCGTACTAGCTATGCGGTCAGCTTTGTACTTCTGCTGTGCTTCTGTCGACGCAGAAAGAGCAGGCTCAGTCGGAGTGGGAGGGGCTGGGAGGGAGCCTGAGGTGTGCTCAAAAAGAGAGTCGTCGTTGCGGGTAACGCTACGCAGGTACATGTGAAGTCCCTCAAGCCATGACTCGTAATCGACAGGGCTACCCTGGTTGGATGTGTAACAACTCATCTGCCGAATCAATTAGCCCCAAAAATGGATGGCGCTCAAGTGTGTGACCTATACCCGGCCGCACCCGGCTACTGGTGAGCCGGTGTGTTGGGTGCAAATGCACATTGCACGACATCCTGCCGTCTGTTTGTACGAGTATGCGTGTGCGAATGCATTTGCGTGTGAATGGAATGTTCGTATGTTTGTTTGCTTTCGCATTTTTCGCTTGATGCATTTGCAGGTACTCGCGCAATGTGCGCTTTGGCACAACATTGTATGCGCTATGAACAGTGCAAGCAGAAAGGACGAGCTCGCAAAGGAACCCAAGATGGAAGCTTTGCAGTTCGGTTGAGTTGATTGCGCAGATTCAGTTCTATCCAACTCGAAATTGTACTGTTTTGTTTGGTTAACTATAGTGTAGCAGGGAAGGCACTATAGGGGTACAATTTAGGTGAAGGTTGGATGTTGTTTGTCTGTATCTGCATGCTACAAGGCCAAGGGAAACCAGCGGAACCAGCATTTGGCTGGTTGGGCAAAGACAAAACAGGTTCTGTTTTTAGAACCTGAACCTGGTTGTTGTTTTCCCAGGTTGGAAAAACAGAACCAGAGGTTGTTTACCAACCTACCACCTGCTATTTTGTCCAGCCAGGTTGGTTCTGTTGCTTGGAATTATTTGGGATCATCCCTGGTTGTTCCCAGGTTGATTCCCAAGGTCCTTGCTAGCTAGAACTATTTAATCCTTCTCTGTTTGTACCTGAATATAGTCAAATTGATTCAAGCGAATTCCTTCCTCGCTGGAATTTCGTTTCTGCGCTATTCGACGGCGGAATGCTACCCGAGTCAACGCTAGTATGCTAGCACTCCAACGCTAGGCAAACGCTGTCCGAGCCGTAACTTAGTAATGGCAGAACTTTTCGCGAGGCAACTTGGCTTATTTTAAAGCTCTTGGAGCGAGCTTCGATATAGCGAATTCTCAGCTTAATCCGATCGACGGTCTGCACGGCACGCTGCGCGACGTTCAAGGTACTCTTGCTGTTTTGACTAAGTCCTTCTTGATCCCTCTCTCTACAAACTCGGACCCGATGATAGGGGCTGGTCTTGTACCAGGCACCCAGGGACCCTTGGAGGTGACCCCGAGGAGAGGTTTTAAGTTTGATTAAGTCCTAATAGCTTGAGTTTATTAGGCCCTTACACCAACAAGCTGGTATCAGAGCTGCGTTATAGTGATCCTCGTTATAGGTAGCTATGGCGGGCAACACCTCGGCGGGAGCTGGTGAATCTTCAGCCCAAGATCGTAGCGGCAGCCAAGATTCTGGTCTTTCAGCGCCAAGGGGAGCGCGAACAAACCAGGGCTCGCTTGTCAAGGAGGTGCTGAAGAATTTCACCGTCGAGAAGTTCAATGGTGAGGGCTATGATGATTGGGCCTGGAAAATGCAATTATATTTCCGTCAGATCGGTTTGCTGAAACTAATGATTGGGGAGGAGCCTAGACCGAGTGACCCCACGCTGCAGGAAGATTGGGACGAGCGCTCCTCGGCTGGCTACTATTTGATGTCGCAGAGTTTGGAGCTGAACCAGCGTCACCACGTCATGCACCTGCTGCCGGAGGTTGAATGCGGTCCGAAGGCGTGGACCGTGTTGAAGGAGCTGCACGCCCCGACCTCCGTTGTCGCAACGTTGATGCTGGAGAGGGAGCTGTCCGCGTTGCGCCTGAGCGAGGGAGAGCCGGTGCAACCAGTCCTGGACAAGATGCGCGACCTCTACGCGAAGTTGGCGACCGCGGGAATCACCTACCCGGAGCAGACCAAGTGCTTGAAGATGCTCTCGCTGCTGCCAGAATCGTGGCTTCAATTTACGAGCGGATTGAGCCTGCCGCAGAACCAGAGCTTGTGGACGCTCGAGTGGGTGCGGACGAAGATTCTGGAGGAGGACTTCCGTCGCCGCCAACTGAGGGGTGGAGACGACGGCAGCAGCGGCTACGGGATGCAAGGGAGCCGACGTGGCAGAGGACGTGGCTTCGGTGGTGCTGGACGCAGTGCAAAGAAAGACGACGACTCCAACGACCAACAAGGAGGTACCGGTTGGGGTCGCGGTGCGAAATCTGGACGTGGGGGCAAGTCGGGTGCTGGTGGCAAAATGAAAGGGAGTTGCTGGTATTGTGAGAAGGAAGGGCACCCCTGGTTTTTGTGCTATAAGAAACCCGATGGATGGACCCCCCAGAATCGTCACCAGGATGGCGGCGCGCGGAGGAACCAGAAAAACGGCGCCAACATGGTCGCTGATTCGTCCGACAACAACCCGAAGGGCAACGGCGGTGCGGAGAAGAAGAAGGAGCGCACCGCGGGCCAATTCTTCCATGTGGGAGACAAGGGGGAGCAAGGAGACGCCTCTGCCAAAGTTGGAGCAGAGCTGCACCCCCTAGACTATTGGGTGTTGGACACAGGCGCTGCTTGGACGATGACGCCGCGCAAGGACCTGCTGGACGAAGTACGAGCTGCACCGATCAATGAAGTGTGCTCCGCCTCTGGACACATGTTGAAGGTGGCTGGTGCGGGACGAGCTGCGTTTAAGGGAGCGGATGGCAAGCCGGTGGTGCTGCACGACGTTCTCTTCGTCCCCGACCTGAAGGCCAACCTTATCTCCCTCCGTAAGCTTGGCAAGGCTGGGGTGAACACCAACACGGATGGGGCACGCACTTATAAGGGGAAGCTGGGCAATCGGGTGCTTTGGGATCTGCACGAGAGCAAGGACGTGTACAGATCTATGTGGCAGCTGCCGGCCCTGGCGTGGCATGGTGGGGGGCAGGCTGGAGAGAGGTCTGCATCCCAGGGGGAGTGCAATGCCGTTGGAGGGGTTGGTGTGAAAGTGTCGGCCAGATCTGGGGAGACAGATTGGGCAACGGCACACCGGCGCTTAGGGCATGTGGCAATGCCTTTGCTGAAGCAGCTGGAGAAGGATGGAGCCGTTAAGGGTCTGAAGCTGAACGGACAGCCACCCGATGACAACTGTGAAATCTGTTTGCTTTCAAAGTTCACCCGTTTCCCTTTCCATAGTGTGGCTGGCAGGAGCAAGAAGCCTTTGGAGCTGGTCCACATGGACTTGGTGGGGCCGCTGCCGGTGCAAGGGCACAAGGGGGAGCGGTATTTTCTTACAATTGTGGATGACTGGAGCAGGCTGATGTGGGCGTATCCGCTGAAGCAGAAGGACCACGCCGCCTCCACGATACGGGACGATTGGCTGCCATTCGTGGAGAAGCAGGCGGAGTGTGTAGTGAAGCGGATTAGGACAGACCGGGGTGGTGAGTTCCTTGGAGCTGAAATGACGGCCTGGCTCAAGAAGCAGGGCATCCAGAGAGAGCTGACCACGGCTTATACCCCACAGTCCAATGGTGTAGCAGAACGGGCAAACCGGACCATTCTGGAGACAGCTAGGGCGCTGCTCATAGAATCTGGGCTGAGCAATTCTATGTGGCCTCATGCTGTCCGGCACGCCACTATCGCTAGGAACAGGGTGCTCACCAAGGTTGGGGATGACTCGTGGGTGCCGTTGGAGAGGTGGCTTGGGAGGAAGCCGCCGGTGGACATGCTGAGGGTGTTCGGTTGCATGGCAGTCGCCCACGTCCCCAAGACCTACCGCAGTAAGTTGGGGGCGAGTGCAATCTGGTGTGTGCATTTGGGGCTGGCTGCTGAGAGCAAGGGATGGCTGCTGTGGGAACCATCCAAGGGTGTGTTGTTTGACAGCAGGGATGTGAAATTCATTGAGGGCATGATGTACGGGAGCTGGGAGAAACAGCCGGAGGCAAGGGTGTCCCAGCAGATGGAGCAGATCACCATGCAGCTGGACCTGACTCCTAGTGTGTGGGAGGAGGGAGAGGAGGCAGCTGCTGGAAATGGTGATGGAGAGAAGGTACAGGAGGCATCTGCTGGTGGAGAAAATGGTGTGGAAACTGGCGGCAGCACTAGTGGAGCTGCTGGACCCGAGGGAGGAGAGAAGCAGCAGGGAAAAACTAAGAAGCCGAAGGGTGTCGTTATGAAGGGATGGGAGACACCCGTCTCCAGGCCAGGACGTACCCGTATGGCTACTAAGAAGCTGACTGCAGGAACTGATGCAGCAGAGCAGCAGCTAGGGACCGAAGAGGCATTGCTGATTCTACCTCATGGCTATGACCCGGATGAGGAGGATGAGCCTGCGTACTGTTTTCTTGCCCCTGCACCAGAGGAACCAGCTAGCATGGAAGAGGCATTAGCTGGACCAGATAGGGACAAGTGGCTGGCTTCTAGGGATGCTGAGTACCAGAGTCTGCTGGAGAATAGGACATGGGATCTGGTGGTGCTGCCTGATGGGAAGAAAGCGATACAATGCAAGTGGGTGCTGAGGATCAAGACCGATGACAAGGGGCAGGTCACCATCTACAAGAGTAGGCTGGTGGCGAAGGGGTTTATGCAGAAGGAGAAGCAGGACTTCAACGAAATCTTTGCTCCCACTGCCAAACCCCCTACCCTCCGTGTCTTGTTGGCAGATGCAGCTGTTAGTGGGAAATTCATCATTCAGATGGATATTTCAACGGCATTCCTGAATGGGATTTTAGAGGAGGATGTGT